CAAGCAATTCTCTTGCCTCAGCCTCCCAAGTAGCTGAGATTACAGGCACCTGCCACAACGCCCAGCTATTTTTTGGTTGTGGTTGTCATTGTTGTTCAGCTGGCCTGGGCTGGGTTTGAACCCGCCAGCCTGGATGTATGTGCCTGGTGCCATAACCACTGTGCTACAGGTGCCAAACCTTGTGAAGAGGTTTTATTCTCACTGAGCCTTAGTTTCTTTATAAAAAGAGAATCACGTCTCTTTACAGAGATTTTTAGAATACGCATACAGTAGGTAAAATGAAGTAGACCCTTGACAAATGATAATTTTCTGTTTAATTAAAAAATTATTTTACAATTATTATTTACATATCCAACATTTACCAAAAAATAGGCACAACTCATCAGAAACCCAAAAGTAAAACTTATCGTATTTTTAGGCATCTTCAAAATATATATCTTCATGGTGGGAGTATCCAAAATCAGCAAATATACTTTATTTAAATGCTTAAATGCATTATTATACTCTATATGTCAGTTCGGAAAATGTGACTTCTTTGATTTTTAAAAACCCACATTAAAATCTCATAGCAGTTCTAGCAAACTTATAAAAATATTATTGAGTGTACTTTGGAATCTAAATAACTGGTTTTCATGTTCAGGACATGTTCTTCCTGTCTTCATAATTCCTATGTTATAACAATGATAGATCTTAACTGTTTCTGCTTTTCTTAGAAATAAATCTGAAAAAAACAGAAAAGGAAAAGAATGAGAAAATTTTATGAGATATCAAGCTATCATGAAGCACCATTTTTGTGATATTATCTGGTTCTGTTGAGTATTGTATAGTGAATATCATTTGTGCCTTCTTTCCCTCCTAGTGTGCTCTTGCTGCTGATGAGGTAGTATTTAATCAGAAGGAACTGGAAATGAAGGAACTGAAGAGTCAAGTACAAATGATGGTACAGGAGAACAAAGGACATGTGGTATCTTTGAAGGAAGCACAAAAAGTGAATAGATTGCAGGTAGGATTTCTTTTCTTTTTTGTAGAGACTGGTCTTGTTCTATCACTCAGGCTGGTGTGCAGTGGACTGAACGTAGCCTACTCAAACGTCTTAACACTTGGGCTCAAGTGACCCTGTGCTGCCTGAGCCTGCTGAGTAGCTAGGGCTATAAGCATGCACTACCACACCTGGATGAATAAACCATTTTTTATTTTTTTGAGATGGAGTCTCATTTTGTTACTCTTGATAGAGTGCCCTGGCGTCTTAGCTCACAGCAACCTCAAACTCTCAGGCTCAAGCAGTTCTCTTGCCTCAGCTTCCCAAGTAGCTGGGACTACAGGGGCCTGCCACAACACGTGGCTATTTTTAGAGATGGGGTCTCGCTCTGGCTTAGGCTGGTCTTGAACCCATGAGCTCACGCAATCTACCCGCCTCAGTCTCCCAGAGTGCTAGGATTACAGGTGTGAGCCACCACGCCCGGCACTAACGTAATTTTTTCTTATAGAGAAGGGGTTTATTATGTTACCCAGGCTAATCTTGAACTCCTGGCTTCAAATATTATCCCCATTCCTCAACCTTCCAAAGTGCTGGAATTACAGGAATGAGCCACTGTGCCTGGTCAGGAGTTTCTTAATTTATCTAGCTCTATAGATTTAGTTGAAATAGTATCTAATTAAATAGATAAGCATTTTAAATGATAGATGGAAATGTTTACAAAACTATATTTCAGTTAAAGAATTCTCAAGAACCATCTTTTCACCACTGTTTTGAACACTATCTTTATCATAAATGGAGATCCATTTGTGCAGGAATCTATTGTCTGTTCCTGGGCCTTCTTTTGTATCTTGTTGGTTTATTTGTGTATCCTTGACATTTTTTATTTATTATAGGTTCATAATAAGTCTAGGTAATCTATACAGCAAGGCCTTCTATTCTCTTCTCCCATCTCCTCCCCACCAAATTGTCTTGTTTGTTCCATATAAATTTTCTTTTTTTTATTTTTTAAAAATTTCTGTTTCATGTTGGTGCAAAAGTAATTGTGATTTTTGCATTGTTGAAATTTGCCATTTGATATTGGAATACATTCTTAAGTAAATGTGGTAATATTATACATAATTTCAATTCATATTTCTTGCTTTGTGTTTTTTGCTAACAACTTATTACTTACTGTTTATTTTATACTTATTTTGGACTATGGAAATGATGTTAGACAGAAAGCTAATTTGAGCAATATTCTTATTTGAGTTCAAACTGGGTCGTACAGTAGGAGAGACAACTTGCAGCATCAGCAAAGCATTTGGCACAGGAAATGCCAACGAACATACAGGGCAGTGTTGGTTCAAGAAGTTTTGCAAAGGAGACAATCACTGAAGCTGATCCTCTGACAACTACATGAGAAGTTGCTGAAGAATTCAACAGCAGCCGTTTTACAGTCATTTGGCATTTGAAACCAATTGGAAAGGTGAAAAAGTTCAAAAAGCTGGTGCCTCATGAGCTGACTGAAAATCACAATTGTTTTCAAGTGTCATGCTCTTATTCTACACAACAACAATGAACTATTTCTTGATTGGATTGTTACGGCAATGAAAAGTGGATTTCATATGATGACCAGTAATGACCAGCTCAGTGGTTGGACTGACAGGAACCTCCAAAGCACTTCCCAAAGCCAAACTTGCACCAAGAAAAGGTCATGGTCACTGGTAGTCTGCTGTCAGTCTGATCCACTACAGCTTTCTGAACCCTACCAAAACTGTCACAGCTCAGAAGTATGCTCGGCAAATCAATGAGATGCAGTGAAAATTGCAACACCTACCGCCAACATTGGTCAATAGAAAGGGCCTAATTCTTGTCCACTACAAGGCCTGACCATAGATTGTACAACTAATACTTCAAAAGTTGAACAAACTGGGCTATGAAGTTCTGCCTCATCCACCATATTCACTTGACCCCCTTGCTAACCACCTACCACTTCTTCAAGCATCTCAACAACTTTTTGCAGGGAAAATGCTTCCACAACTGGCAGGATGCAGAAAATGTTTTCCAAAAGTTCAGTGAATCCCAAAGCATGGATTTTTTTTTTTTTTTTGCAGTTTTTGGCCAGAGCTGGGTTTGAACCCACCACCTCCGGCATATGGGCCTGGCACCCTACTCCTTTGAACCACAGGTGCCACCCAAGCGTGGAATTTTATGGTACAAGAAGAAACAAACTTATTTCTCTTTGGCAAGAATGTGTTGATTGTAATGGTTCCTACTTTGATTAATAAAGATGTATTTAAGCCTCATAATGATTTAAACTTTGTGGTCCAAAAACACAATTATTTTTGCACCAACCTAAGTAGTAACTTGATTGAGATATACCTCACTTACCATAGAATTCAACCGTTTAGAATGTATAATTCAGTGATTTTTTTGTATATTTGTAGAATTACATAACCATAACCACTGTCTAATTTTATAATACTTTTATCACTCCAAAAGGAAATCTTGTACCCATTAGCAGTCATTTTCATTCTCTCTTTTTCTTGGCCCCTGGCAACCAGCACTTTATTTTTTTGTCCTTATGGATTTACCTATTCTAAACATTTCCTATAACTAGAATCATACTATATGGCCTTTGTGTCTGTCTTCTCTTACCTAGGGTGATATTATCATTTTTTTAATTGTCAAATGATAACTATATGTATTTATTGTTTTTAATGTGGAGTTTTGATCTATGTATACATTATCAAAAGATTCTATCAAGTGAATTAACATATCCTTCGCCTTACTAACATATTTTTGTGGTGCGTATATTCTATTATTTTAGCAGTTTTGAAAATTACAATACATTTTTATTAGCAGTGATCACCATGCTATGCAATAGATCACTAAACCTCATACCTTCAGTCTAATTGAAACTTTGTACCCTTTGATCAATGTCTTCCTTTACCCATCCCATATAAATTTTAGAATCAGCTTGTCAGGAGCTACAGAAAAAACTTGTGATTTGGGCGGTGCCTGTGGCTCAGTGGGTAAGGCAGTGGCCCCATATACTGAGGGTGGGGTTCGAACCTGGCCCCAGCAAACTACAACAAAAAAATAGCTGGGCGTTGTGGCGGGCACCTGTAGTCCCAGCTACTTGGGAGGCTGAGGCAAGAGACTCACCAGGAGTTGGAGATTGCTGTGAGCTGTGATGCAACAGCATTCTATTGAAGGCAATAAAGTGAGACTCTGTCTCTAAAAAAACAAAATAAAACAAAACAAAGCTTAAGAAATGTGATTTTTGGGGGGGTTGGAGTTGTATTAAATCTCTAAATCTGTTTGCAAAGAATTACTATCTTTTGATTATGAGTCTTCTAATCCATGAACAGCGTATATTTCTTCATTGCTGAAGTTTATTTTGGTTTCTCTTAAAAATGGCTTATTCTCTCCTTTTCTGTGTGTGTAGAAATATTGCATATATTTTATTAGCTTTATTCCTACATACATAAGTTTTTTATGTGACTAAAAATGGAATCTTCTTAAAATTTTATTTTTCTAATTTCTTAATTTTTTATATGTGGAACTGCATTGATTTTTATATACTGATATCTTATATATCCAGTAACCTGACTAAACTCACTTTTTAATTCCAATGTTTTAGCTGTAAATTCTTTGGAATTTTCATTTCTAATTTTATTTATAAATTGAATCTATAAAGTTTTATTTCTTCCTGTATAAACTTTCTATTTCTTTTTCTTTCTATATTTTCTGGGATATTTAATTTAATATATCTTTAGATGTTTATTCAGGTATCCTCTTTTTTGTTTCTGGTTATTTATGCCTTCTTTCACTTTTTTTTAAATCAGCTTCCCTAATAAAATTGCCAATTTTATTAGCTTCTTCAAAGGTAATATTTGATTTTGTTTATCTTGACTATTGTATGTTCATGACTTCATTAATTTTTGCCCATAATTATTTGATTTTTTTCTACTTTTTTGGGGAGTTAATCTGCTGTCTAACTTCTTTTGATAGATTCTTTGTTTTTAAGCTTCTCTTCTTTGATAGTATATCCATTTAGATTGCAGTGGTTCTCAACCTTCTTAATGCAATGGCCCTTTAATACCGTTCAACCCACAGGTTGAAAACCACAGATTTAGAGTTATACATGTACTACTAAGCTTATGTGCACTTGTATTCCATTTTCAGATCAAAATATCTCCTAATTTTTATTGTCACTTATTTTTTAACTTATGGATTATAGAATTATTTTATTTCCAGTACAAGAGGGATTTCTTTTTATTTTATTAACTTTTAGCTTAATTGCATTGTGGTCAGATAACATATCATGTCTGATTGTAGTCCTTTGAATCCATTGAAATTTGCTTTTTGGCTCAGCATAAGGCCAGTTTTTTTCATTGAATTGTTTTTTAATTTTGTTGATATTTTTGCTTTATTTTTTAATATAATTAATTCATTGTAACATATATATTTATGGTAGACAAGTGCAATTTTATTACACTGATATTACAGTGTAGAGAAGTCAGAGCCTTCGGTGTATCCATCACAGAGGCAGTGCACGTTGTCATTGTGCCTACCAAGCAACCTCCCATTGTCTACTCTTCTCTCATCGCTTTTCCCCTCCAAGTTTCCATTGTCCATCATTCTATATCTGTGTGTACACATTATACACATTATTTAGCTCTCACATAAGTAAAAACATGATATTTTTCTTTTCTTTATCTGAGTTGTTCCACTTACAATCCTGATCTCTAGTCAACTCAAGGTGGGTGTGGTGGCTTGGGCACAGTGTGGTGGTGGTGGTGGTGACTGAGCTGCTAGCCTGGCAAGCAGGCATTCACCAAGCCCAGGTGGCCACCACGAGCACCACCCTGGATTCCATACCCATAATGTTACATGGGTGCTAAGCCTGCCCTGGTAGGGGAGATAATGAAGTATTTCCTGGACCAGAGCATGCTTTGGAGTTCATGGGACCAAGTGTTCACTGCCATCTGGCAGTGGTACCAAATCTCTATAGCAAATATGTCTTGACAGAAGACATA